TATAAATTACATTTACATAACAGTACAGGTAAAAGCAAATAATAAAATATAATAAAATAAATTTGCAAATATTTGATCACCTCTTTTAATTAGATAATTAAAATAATTTTTTAATAATTTTGAGTTGTTCATATTTTTTTATTGATTAATAAAAATGTATCTTTTGTATTAATATATAAAAATAACTAAAAAAAGATATTGGTAACTGGTCGAACATGTTTTTTTAAGAGAGTATTTAAAAGTATAATAATGGTTATTTTTTAAAGTATTTTTTACTTAGAAATACATTAAAATAATATTTTTTATATATAAAAGTTATTTTTAACATTAACATATCAAAATAATATGAAAAACCAAAAAAAAAATTAAAAAATTAATTATTTTCAAAAATACTTTAAAAAATTATAAAACTCAATTTATAATCAACTCATTATTGAGCGATAAAATTAAAAAAAAATCAATTTAAAAATTACTCAATAAAACTACATGAACTTACCCGGATTAATTCATGACTCAATGATAACACTTAAATAACCTCAAAGAAAAATCAAAATAAATCATAAATTATAATTTTTTATTAACCCAGTATTAAATAATAAATATTAAAAAAATATCAATTAATTTTTTTAAATCAACTAGATTAATTTATCAATAACAAAAAAAATTATTATAAAACCAAAATAATTACATATATTTTTTTAAAAAAAAATATTACCAACAATGTTCTGCGCACATTAAAAGCACCTGCTACTTTAGTTGGTTTCGTAGATAATAATTAGCACTAGTGGTATTCTTTCCTTCTGTTGAAATGGTCGATGTTGCTTTGCGTACTTGATGGACTACGTGGGTAGTACGATCTTTAAGACCAGAAGAACGCATGACCTTGTCCAATCCCTCCGTTGTGGCTCTTCCTTACCTCAGGAGTCGAGAGGTGTACGAAGAGTCCCTGTCTAGCTAGCTGTCTCTTTCTAACAATAACAAGAATTCCAACGACCGACCGCGTCTAATAAATATTCCACCGAGAGAATCAATTTTATACGGACAAATGATTGGCCTCTCTCGAACCAGAGAGAACATGGGATCTCTCTCCCCTTCAGACCCTGAAAGGATCCCTACCGTGAGAATTTAAGAAATTACAAAAGTCTATTGTTTTTGTGTTTCCAAAATACCTGCTGGTCCTTCAACCCAAGAAGAAGAAGAAGAAAAATCAACTGATTAATTAAATAAAAAATTAATTTAATTTAAATATAAATTATACTTTCATCAGAACGTAGAATTAAAATCCCACAAGAGTGAAATATATATACCTTTTAATTTTAATTTTAACTATTTAAATTAATGAAGTTGAGTCGTCAGGAGTCATGTATTCGATGCCATACAGAGGAAACTTCTCAGCCCTCAAATCCCACACTTTTGAGAGTGGAGTGTATGTCAGCTCTCTCTCTCTCTACGCTTTAGTGCTTTGGTGCCAAAACCACGCCCCGCACGCCATTTAAGATCCCGTCCAGTACGGTGTTCAATTATACTTATTAAATTTATTTTTTTAGATTTAGATTTATTTTTTTAATTTTTTTAATATCATTTTCATTTTGATGTGCCGGGTAAAAAATAAATTTATTAAAAATATTTAATTTTAATATATTTTTAAATAAAAAAATTTAAATTTTTTTTTACTATATTCTCTAAAAAAAGAATAATACATATTTTTTTTTCTCTTACTTCCGTGAGCATATATAGAACATAACTGGGAAAGAGAGACCCCCTCTTCTTCTTGTTGTTTCTCTCTCTCTCTCTCTCTCTCTCTCCAAACAGGCGTTATTTTTTATTTCTGTTTTTTTCTTCTTTTTGAGAAGAAGTATTTTTTAGCGTGTGGGGGTGGTTGGTAAGTGGGAAACGTACGGAATGCCGAGGAGAAATTGGGACCAAAGCTTGATCGTTGTTGTACGGATTTGGATAAATGTCTGAATCCGAACAAAATCATTTCGAGCTGCCAAATTATGGAGTGATGGGTAACTAGAGAAGTTGAAACTGCTCAAAATAAATATTGAATCATATATGGCCTTAATTTGTGGCAAAACACAATTGTGATACCGGTTTCTTCTTTAAAATATGATGTAAATGTGATAATTTAAATTTATTTAATTGAAATCCATATAAAATTATATATAGAAATGTAATAAAAACAAGTTACAATTAACAAGGAAGTAAGTGCTAATATTAAAAATTCTTTTAATGGGTGATAATTTTTTATATAAATACATGGTGAAAGAAGTGCTAGGAGTTATTTCTTATAGAAAAAGAGTCAAGAATTCTGGCAACTGATATATAAACTAGATAAATCTAGCAATAGAACCAGTGCACTTGGAGAAATAAAACCATTTTAGATTGTCTGTAGAGATTTAATTAGAAATGTGAGAAAAAATATCCCAAATCATAAACAAAATCTTAGTACGATTGAAGCAAAATATAATGATAAAATTATTTCTTGTTAAAATTTAAATTAAAAATTGTCCGAAGGTCTTCCCATGAAAAAATAAAAAAAAAACAATCCCGACACATTTTAGTGTAAGCTTAAATATTTCAAGGGATGTATGAAAATTACATAGGAAATTAGGTCTAATTTATCAATTTTACCAGATTTTGTCCTTACAACGGAGTTTCCTACTTATTTCTTTTATGTATCAATTGAGTATCTCTACTCTTTATTTTTATTTTTTTGGATAAAATCAAAAGATATAAAAACTTTTACAAAAAAATAAAAGCATAAAGACCGAATTGAAATACCTTATATATACAAATTAAAAATTAAAAGTTAAATTGAAAAAAAATAAAATTTTAATAAAAAAATAACTAAAAAATATAAATCAAAATTAAAAGGTTTGAATTTGAAAAAACAAAAATAACAAAGATAATATTATATTCACCAAGATAGAAGAGATAAATGAAAGAAAAAAAATAATTATCAATGCTACACAACCACATTTGAAATACATCCATCGGCTTTCATAAAAAAAAAACAAAAAAAAATTACAAATTGATTGTTATAATGTAGCGGTGAATAGACAAAAGGTAGAGGAATATAATGAATCCTTCTTTTATTTTAATTATTCATACATAATCATTTGTCATGGTCCTTTAGAATTAATCATGAATGAATTTAGTAACGATTGACAAACCAAGTTTTTTTCCCTTTTCTTTTAATCGAAACTCTGTTTAAAAAGAACATCTCTACAATTTTGGCTTAATGGATAGATGCCCTGAAGAACGGAAGGAGGGAACAAAGTGCGTACAGAGCTGTGTAGAAGTAGCTGTGAAACTTCTACAGGACATAATGTGGTGTGATTAAAAAGGGACAGAGATGTTTACCTAAGATGTCAGCTCAGACACAACTTGTCCCAGCATTTCTCACACAGGAATGGCAGTGTAGTGGTGAGCTAAGGAAGGCAACTAGCTTCATCATACTCCACCGAGCCCTTTCCTGTTTTTTTCTTGGAAGCACTCAGTACTGACGCAGATAATTATTGGAGTAATCGTGGGGTGAGAAGTGAATGTCTGTGTTATTCGAGAAGTATTTAATAATAATAATAAAAAGACTAAGTGCAGGAGTCTTGATAACGAATTCTCGTAGAAAAAAAGAAATAATTTGAACCCAGAGAGCTAGCACGAATACTTTTTTGATATATATATACATCAAATTAATATATTTTAAAATCATTAGAAAATAATTTGACATTTTTTTTATAAATACACAGATTAGTTTAAAGATATGAAGGGGAAAAAAAACACAATTTACGAGCAGATAAAGAAACATAAAGGAAGGCATGTACGTTGATTATTCTAAAGCAGGGATGGATAGAGTAGCAGTACAAAAAATCTCTTGTTAATTCCTCACTTCAATTATAAAAACCTAAATTAATCATTTTATTTGATAAGATCACCCTCTAAATTTTATTTTACACACAGAATTTTGTTTTTAAAGATCCAGAGCACACAGGTCGCATGTGGTCTCTGCTTGACTTTCCTGATTCATGGTTTCTTTTCTTCGATCCTTGGAGTTGTGGCCGTTGATGTTGCTTTCCTGCCCTGGTGGACGCTCGGATGGAATAATTTATGATACTATGAAGTTGACCTTATCCAATCCGTCAAGTGGTTTGAATGTTGTCCTTTCGTTCACTTTCGGGGCCATCAGCGTACGAGCCAGCATTCTCCTGCTAATAAAAACTCCCAAATGACAATTTCAACGACCGTGTAGAAATCGACAGGGACCCTTTCTAGAACGTCAGATACTGGCAGCTGAGCCCAATTTTGCTGGAGTTACCTCTACGGTTTTTCTTTTGGAATTTCAATTACTTTTTAAAATATGTTTTTATCTTAAATAAATTATTTTAGTATTAATATATTAAAATAATCTAAAAAAATTAAATTAACAATAAATTTTAATGAAAAGCCCATAATTAAATCATGTGTTTGTAATATGCTTTGGTTCAGTTCAGGTTTTTTTTTAACATCAAAATGAGCTAAATGTTATTTTAGAGCTATTTCTTTTAGAGCAACCTTTTATGCTGTGCAACTTTAAGGACAAAAATACTATAATAATTTCTTTCTCTGGAAGTTGTACTGCCGATGTCATGTATTCAATACAACACAAGGAAACTTCTACGGTATCGAAGACAAGCTTTCCAGGGTGGGAGTATACGCCAGCAAGCTCTCTTTACTCTTTTAATGTTTCAGTGCCAACGCCAAGCACAATAAGCCGCGTGCACTTCAACCGCGTGCACAATAAGCTCTCTGTACTCTTTTAATGTTTCCCACGTCACTTGAAAACAAAAACAAAAAAAACCCTCCTTTGACACCAAAGGTCCAGAACAACACTCCAAAAGGTCCCCACGTGCCTTTATAACCTTCAAACCCCGTGTGTATTAAGTGTGACAGCTGGTTAGCCACGTCACTCTTCCCATCCATATATACTCCCCCCCCCCCCCTTTCTCTCTCGTAAAAAAACACAAATTCGCAGCAGAGCAGAACAAATCAAAAGAAAACATTTGACGCAGGAAGCAGAAGTGCAAAACAGTTTAAAAAATGCAAAGATCTCCAAAGAGGCCCAAAATCAGTGAAGCTCCGACAGCAACTCTCTTTTCACCGCCGGCAGCTCCACCGCTAAGATTGACCCAAGAGCAGGAGTTGGCCGTGATGGTTGCTGCTCTCAAAAACGTAGTTTCTGGCACCGCTTCAATGGATTTCTCAAGGGAGATAAATATTATTAATATGCCAATCACCTCTTCACATCCACAATTTGGAAGTGCAAGCAGTAGCAGGGATGGTTTTTGCAACTCTATATTGCCTCCGTCTTCGGATCTTGACACGTGTAGTGTTTGTAAGATCAAAGGGTGCTTAGGATGCAACTTTTTCCCGCCAAATCAAGAAGATAAAATGGACGACAAGAAAGGCAAACGAAAGAGAGTAAAGAAGAATTATAGAGGTGTAAGGCAACGGCCATGGGGAAAATGGGCTGCAGAGATAAGAGATCCACGGAAAGCGGCAAGGGTTTGGTTAGGGACGTTTAACACTGCAGAGGAGGCGGCAAGGGCCTATGATAAGGCAGCCATTGATTTTAGAGGGCCAAGAGCTAAGCTTAATTTTCCATTTCCTGATAGTGGTATTGCTAGTTTTGAAGAGAGTAAAGAAAAGCAAGAGAAGCAGCTGGGAATCAGTGAGAAGAGAAGTGAAATTGAAACGGAAATGGGGAAAGACAATGAGTTCTTGGATAATATTGTAGACGAAGAGTTACAAGAATGGATGACGATGGTGATGGATTTCGGTAATGGTGATTCTTCCAATTCTTCCGGTACCGCAAGTGCTGCTGCTACCATTGGTTTTTAATTAAACTTTCAGGGTTTCGTAATGTTAATTTAGGTTCCTAAGAATGGCAACTGTAAGAAATTTTCGATTCTTTTGTTATTTTTCAAGAAAGAATCATCAAGTCGCTGGTCGTAGAATGTTAACTTGTACAATTCTTACTGTACAATTTAAGGAAATTTGTACTAAATTGTTGTTTCGAGTGGCATAGAGAATTACCGAGACAAAAGGTTCCGCGCACACGAGTTCCTCTGTTTTTCTGCTCTGTTCCCGCTCTGTTTTGAGCTGTTACGAAAACCTGGACTGTTGACCAGGGACCCACGTCAGGTATAAAGTGACAGGAAAATCTCACCTGATGAAAAGGGTCACTGTGGTCCTGTGGGTTCCACTCATGTTGCAGGGTAATGTCCATTCCTCTTTCAGAAGTCACAGCGCCACCTGTACACGCAGCAACCAAGCTACGATGACTTGACCATGCTATGTAATTGAGCATGTGGGTTTTCTCTGTGGACAACAAGACGAGGAATCAATTTCCAATCTCGTTGAACATGTGCGTAAATAAATCATCACGTGTAAAAAAGAAGTTGAGCAAGCTGAAAAGAAACGAAAGATAATGGCGATGATCAGAATATCCAGAGAGTAAGAGAGCGATTGAAGTCTTTAATTGGAGCCAGATACTAAATTATCACTTGATTGGTTGATTTGGGGGGGATTAGAGGTTTGCTTTACTCGAGTGATTGTGACTTTGTCTGGAAGCAGAAGGGCCCTGCCAATAAATAATTGAGTTCTACTAAACACATGTTAATTTCACCACATTGTTTATGCAAAACGTGGCAAACTTTATGAAGCTGATATAGTGCCTCTATCTTGTCATCTGTGCGTTGAATAGTGAATATAGTCTTCCTTTTTCTTTTTTTTTTTCTTTTAAAGAAATCAAATCAAGTTGGATTGTGGTGCAAATCACTCTCTCGAGTAGATTAATTAAGCAATTAAAAAAGACTCCTAATCTTCTTCCATGTGAAACGACAGATTCCTCTATCACACCGGCAATCTAGAATTAACACGATGATCATTTTTCTTCTTCAATCAACTACGTTGCATTTGCTTTATTGTGTCTCATCAAGTCCTTGATGTCCCTGGTTTCTCTATTGCCAGTGAATGATAGATTTGAATCTTCATTTCGCTTGGGCTTGAAGGTATAACAGTATCGTTATACTCATAGCAGATTATTATTATTATTTTTTTTTGAAAATCTCAATTCGAGATCCAGTGATTTTAATCTGGAAAACGAAATCATAGATGCCATTTAATGCTAATTATAAGTAGATATCCACTTAGTAAAGAAAGAGAGTCGAAAGCTTGGAAGAATATCAAGTTTCATAGATAAAAAGACGGATAGTTCAGGTTTTCCTCTTACGGATGGATGAACAGCATGTTTGTACGAATCCAACTACATGGAGATATATCACTTGTGGCTATGATGAGTTGGTTAGGGTTGATGGGGTCATCTTAGTTTTTAATTCTTATTTCTCCTTTCAATTTCAAAACGAGGAAAAAAAAGAGGATTTTTTTCAAAGTACGGATTACAGAACAAGAAAAGATAATTATTCCCTCGGTAGAAATTCACAGCTAAAGCACAACCTGTGAAAATTAGGACTTGAAACGCGTGTTATGGTACTTGCACTGGCTTTATTCCGAAAACTCATGATTCCAATAAAGACAAAAGACAAAACCCGTGTAATGTCGCCTGTTTTCACCCCCTGCTTCAATGAGAAAAAGGAATTAATCACAAACGTTAAAAATGCACTCCACGTCTAGCCGACAATGCCTAATCTAGGGGCAACCAGGAGGCTAAAGAAGTAACTGATCCCTTAAGTAAAAAAAAAAAAAAAAGATTTACGCTGTCACGCGCTCTGCTATTTTAAATTAGCAATGGTAAGGCGCATATTTTTATTCTCATCAACCAGGCTCCACATTCTAACATCTAAAGCTCAAACCATCTGAGCTGGAACCACATGTCTTAGCAATTTATTGATTACTTAACATCAACACAAAAGATCCTTTATCTCGGTGGTGTTTCTGAACGCGCTCAATTTCAGAGCCCATCTGTTCATACATAGCCAAGAAGAAAAATATATCAGGATTCCTTTCCTTTCTACCATCATTCTGACCTCGGATCGTGCTTTAGAATAAAAATTAGTGAAGATCATGATAGGCCAGAAATCTTAATCACGCAATTTGCAAGAAACCAAGTTTCATACATTTATTCACCTTAAAAAACAACCATTCACGAGTTAATGGTAAAAAAACAAGATGAAAGATTCACACTAGATTCAAGTAGAAGCCACAATCAACTAGAAGATGCGGAAAATGAAGTAAGTTAAACTGAAGATAGCAGAAATGAACTGTACAAATCGAAAAGAAATAAAGAAATAAACAAGGACGGTTCCGTTTCAGCCACGTGAGCGTTTGCCAGAAAGGCTGATAGAGCTGACTTTCATTGGGGTTGCCACCACCAGTGGAGCTTCTGGGGAGTCACTGACAGCATAATTCTCATGCATGAAACGGCTTTCTACAATAGACTCGTCCTTCAACACAATCTTATAACAATAACAGCTCTTGAGACCATGCTGATTTCGGTAGCAGTCGTGAGCGCTGTTCTTCACCCGCTGGAAATCCCATATCACACTGAACTTGCCCACTGTCACGACTAGGTGACGCTCTTGTTTACCATTCTCGGTGACCTGAAAGATAACATTGAACATGAGACAAACGCACAAATCAATAGAGTCCATTAATATCGGGGCATAACAGGATGACAAGCAATTGCAAACACCCGACTCGGGATCATAAACGAGTTAGCACTTGTAGATTAATGTGAGGATGTAGACGCTTTTCTCCACTACATTAAGTGGATAACATTGGGGAAATCACATTCACATGAATGTCCAAAGAGTTCACATGGTGAAACAAATTCTATATTTCCATGAATTGATTATGCTATCAACTTCATCTTGCTTGATAAATCCAATTTTTTCAACTCCACGGACCATTTATTAAACTAATGTTTATGCTATCAGTTGACAGTTTAAACCTTCTATTTCTTTCTCTGTCTTACATCTCTATCGATTTACCGCTACTTCTCTACACTGAAGGTTCACCGCGACACTGATATAGGAGAAAGAAATAACAAATGCATCCAAGCTACAAAATTCATTACAAAATTGGAACATAATAAAGATTTACCGAGTATCATGAATATAATATTGTTTTCTAGCAAGAAAACTAACATGGTTATGAAATTTATCAACAACGTTTGCTAATTCATGAAATTGGGACACTTGAAAGCATTAGCCAGTTTGTGCGCATGCTATTCCCATAGAGGTTGAAATGGTGGTTATGCTAAATAGATTGTACTCTATGCATCATAATAGGCGATTGCAAAGCCTGCAAGATTGACTTATCATGTTTAACAAAAGGATTTCCGTATGCATACACTAACAAAAACACATAAATTGGAAGTGAAATGTAAACTCAAGACAGTCTTGTGGTGGTTCTTGCTGTTTAAGTATTTTTCAGCTAGAAAATTCAGCTTGAAAAACAGATAGCATGAAGCACAACTTCTGCGAGGATCTTATTTATGACCCCATTAAATGCACTTCGTGTGTATTTTAAATAATGATCAGAGAATTATCAAACTGAACACACTTGCCACATCTGAATTAAAAGCGGTAGGCAGTTTAAAGTAACAGTAAATAGCACAGGCATATAAACGCAATAACAAAAACATACTGCAAAAGCATTTACAGGTATGTGTGCTTACCCATGAGAAATGGCCACCGTGAAACTTATTATTCGCACCAGCCAAGTGTGAATCCAAAGGAGTCAGCTTCAATAATCTTGGGGCTGGTATCTTATTTCCCATTCTACCACCAAAACCAGTCTTAGTCTTTCCATCCTTATCTGTAAACAGGGTGCAAATGAGGATCAAATACGTATCAGTTGTCCCCAACACCCATTTACCATCATATGTAACATCCACATGAGTGATCGGTGAACCAAGCCCTGGAAAAGCCGTCTTAGCCTGCCTCATTGATGTCTTGGAATACAACCTAATCTTCCCATCAAGTGATCCGACAACTATTGATCCATCACCCGTACTGGCAAAGCACTGAAAATTAGTCCCTCTGGAAAACTGATGCCCCTGACTCCAATTCAAAACCGGTGAATCACCAGCCTTAACAATATTCTGCACTATCCCTCTCCTATCCCTCATATCCCATTGACACAACCTATTATCATCCAACCCCAAAAATGTACTTTCCGATGGATCCAATTGCGACCCTTTAGTGTCATTTGTTATATCCCTCATGGTAATATCTGTCCCATCTTTCTCAAACTTCCACTCAGTCACAATCTTCCCTGTCTCAATATCAAGCTGCTTAATCCCAGTTGAATGTGGCTTCCCTTCCTTCAATGGACTCATTAACATCATATTCGTCTCCGCCCTCATTAACATTGCCTTCTTTGGCGTAGATTGCTCCAAACTAGACCCTTCACTCCTATTACTGTCAAACTTCACACAAATACCCTTCCCATAAATCCCTTTATTATAATTCCTAAGAACTTGAACACCCAAATCATTAACCAAAAAACTATTATCTAAAGCACCTAAACTCAAACTTTGCACACCCCCATTCGCTGCCTCCTCAAACTCCTCCAATAAATCCTGATTAACACGCACTGGTTCTTCCTCCTTCTCCTCCACTGCATCTTCCCACATCGAATCATCAGCTATTTCAGGCTTAAGCCAACCAATAAACTCCTTTGAATAAATTTTCAACTTATTTTCTTCAGTAGCATTAAGCCCGTGAACATTTTCAAACAAACAATCTTGAAACAAACTTAAAAACTTCCTGTACTCCTCATCACTAAAAAATCTCAGAGCCCAAACACCATTATTCACAAAATCGACTCGCCTTTGATCACCAAACATTTTCAGTTGCATTTCCGTGGAAATCCTAGCTTTCACTTTAGACCCCACTTTCAAAACCCAAAAAGAATTCCCATCGCCTTCCTTGTCATCATGATCAGAATCGGAATCATCAGGGCCGTTAGTTTTGATGAATTTGTAAGAAGTGAGTTTATCAGAGAGGATCCATTTAGCATTTGGCGAGTCACCGCCTATGTGGAGGTAGAGCTTGACGGTGTTGAGGGTAGTTTGGGAATTTGAAGGGTATTTGAGTTTGAGGGATTTGAGTTTGGAATCGATTTCATCCAGGGTTTTTTTGGACGAGGAAGTGGCTTGTGGGGTTTCCTGGCGTTCAACAGCGTCGTGATGGAATTCTTCTTCTTCTTCTTCTTCTTCTTCTTCTGATTGGTATTCTGATTCCGTATCTGAGAATTCTTGGCCTTCACGGCTTTGAGAGGTTCCCATTTTTGCTTGGAGATATTGGAAAAGGAGAAATGATGTTCTTCGGATTAGTGAATTGAATGAAAGAGAGACTGGTGGGTTTGGAATATGATCTATCTGACGGAGAGAAGAGAAGATAAGAGAGTGGAATTTTCAGATTTGTGTTGATTGATGGATTAGACTGATCTCTTGGAGGCAGTTAAGGGTTTTATTTATAGAGGATCTTTATTGACCGGTTATATCGGTTTTAATTATAGATTTAGTTTTTTTCATTAATGCCCTCAGGTTTATCATATTTGTATTGGTGGCTTTTTTAAAACAAATCTAGCAATTTGCAAACAAATTTTGAATTTCATGGTTCGAAACCCCCCCCCCCCCCCCTTTTTGGCCCCCCACCCCC